AATTGCATTTGAAAGATATTTATTTGAGAAAATTATATTTGAAAGAGATTTATTGAAAGAATTATATTTAAAAGATACTTATTTGAGGAAATTAAATATTTAAAAAATATTTATTGAAAGAATTATATTTGAAAGATATTTATTTGAGGAAATTATATTTGGAAGAGTATTATTTGAGAAGCATACAGACGAAAGATTTATATTTGAAGGACTTGATTTAATTGGGTGTACTTGTATTTATTATTTGTTAAGCAATATTAATGGTGTTCTTGTTGCCCTGCTGTGCATATTACTGGTTGATTTTTGTTGCCCTTATTGTTATTTATTTTCTATTATTTTTGTATACTATATTGCACAGGTTATTAGACTAGTGAGTGTCTCGACTGTACCTCGTCTCTACTCCACTGAGGTTAGTCTTGATACTTACTGGGTACCGACCATGGTGTACTCATACTACACTTCCACACATTTTTGTATAGAGCTAGGTATTGGAGCTATCGGACTCGGACAAAGTTAAAGTGTGATCGCAATGATTCAAGGTAGAGCTGCTTGGTCGTCGCAGTTCCTTGGAGTCTTTCCATTTTATTATACTGTTAATTATTATTCAAACAGTATTGAGTATTCGATCCTTGAGATCATTTCATGTATTCAATTAGAGTTCGTGACTCAGTATTACCAGTCTTGGGAGGTTGTTTGTTGAATATTTCCGCTGCTAGTGTTGACACTTGTATTGAATAAAATAAAAAAAATAGCTTGAAATGTAATTGTAATCGAATTACCTAATCTTAGAGACTAAGTGTCATCACGACTCCTGTGGTGGGATTTTTGGGTCATGACAGAAGGTGTTTGACTCTCCACCATTGACAGACATTAAAAAGCTTTGAAGCTTTAAAATCGAATTTGGGTTTTCAAAAATCATTATTTGTTTGGAATGGGTGTTGTTACAAACAATTGGGAATATTGTTTGGAGTTTATATCTCAATTTTGAGGGTGTTTTGGTGAAGATTAGACTTAATTTTGGCTGAATTTCAGATTAAAGTTGAAGAAGAAGAAGAAGAAGATAATGTAAATTGTATGTAAATTGTATTATGTTGTAATTATATATTATTATTTTTTGAATGTCGTATGAAAGTTGAAAAATAGTTGTATAATGTATGAATTGTTGTATAAAATTTGTATTTAAGTTATCAATACTATCTTTTTACATAAAGTTGTTAATATATATCAAAATTGTATTAAGGGAGTAAGTTTTGATTGGAATTTTAGAGAGGAAGAAGCACACACCACAGACAAAATATATACAAATCAGATACAAAATATATACAAAATACATATTGTATAAAATTTATATTTAAGTTGTATAATATTGTAGTTATATTTAACTGGGTAGAAATAATACATGAAAGTTGTAGATAGGTTGTATAATATATAATATATGTATATTCGTGTATGGGATATACATGGATATCAATTGAGATACATGTATCATAAAGACATTTTTCACCCAATTTCAGTTACGAATTTTAATTCAAACCAGTCCAAATCACTTTTAATTTTTCTCAACTTTTGTATATAACTTTGTCCAAGTATTTTCGATAAATTCCAGCCACACCCACTCAAAAACAACTAACAAATTTTCAGATTTCAAAGTTGAAGTTGAATATTTTGAGATTTTTTAATTGAAACTTTGCAAATTTTAGTTTTCTTTCTTGACTTCACCAATAAAATGACTTTCAATGCTGAGACAATTGAAGTAATCGACTTTAATGATTGAATCAATTTCCCCGTTTAAAATTTTTGGGATGAAAACTCCTATCTTCTTTTAAGTTATTTGTTGCTAACCCAGTTGTTGTGTTGTAGTCCTTGAATTTTTGTGATGAGAGATGCTACTGGATTTGATTGCTAAATATTTTCGATCTAGAGAGAAGAGGGGAGAGAGGAGAGAAAAAGAAAAATTGTGTAACTAAATCCCTTGATTGAAGGTACTAATAATGGATTGAGAGCCTTTTAAGGTAGAATATATATAATTTGTAAGTAATCTTTATTTTGGACGGGTAATATACAAAATTAGAACAATTTTGATAAATAAATTTCCAAAATATCCCCTTTAAAGACTTAGTCATTGTCAAAAAATTAGCCGTTGCCAAACTTAATGCTTAAATAATTTAAAAAATGCCCACTTAAGGCCCGCGAACCGTCCTGTCCCATCCCGTTTGTTAGCGGGATGGGATGGGCCTACTGTTTCGTCTCGTCCCGTTTAGGCCCGTCTCGCCACCGTCCCGGCTAAATATCATCCTGTCCCGTTTATTTGGTCTCGTCCGTCCCGTCCCGTTGGACATCCATACTTTTAACTAATTTTAGTAAACCTTTAAAAGTCAATAGTGATGGTGACATTTTGTTAAGTCAGATTGCAGAGTAGGCAAGTTGCTACACCAAATGAAGAAAGGAATTAGTTGCAAGGTGTGAATGTGATTTCCTTTCCAATTTTACAATGCATATATGGAAATAATTTTATTATCCATAAATTGACATAACTTGCTTTAGCTTCCCAAAAATCTTATCACCAATATTGTCGAAGATACAACCAGTTCAAATATCTATAAAAAGGTTCAAAATCCAAGCACATATATACAACCCGCTCTGCACCAATTCAACATGGCCCTTCGTTTTTTTGTGCTTTGCGGTGTATTTTTCACTTTTCTGGCTCTATACGAAGGTATATATCTTTTGTTTTGAGGTCCATTTTAGTAAGGGTTAAAATGCTTTGCACAAAGACGTACTTCTTTGTCAGTGTATATTTTGGTTTGAAAAGTCCTATAGAGAATAGAATCAAAACAAAAGTCTCCTATGTTTTTTGCATTTTAATGTTTATGACGTTGGTAGACTTAAAAAGAAAAAGAAACTTTAGAGTGATAGCCGTTTATGTATTATAAAAACTCTTCCACCAAAAAAGGGAACAGGTAGAGCTTAATTCCTTATTTTGGTTATTCAAAATGAACCATCATTCTCACATCTCGTCAAAACATATCACCTTTTCCACACTTACCTTTTATTTTATGTTGACAAAATAGTCCCTTAGTAATAAATAAGGATTTATTGAAGTAGTTATATATACTTGTAATTTTTACACAATTCAATACAGTTTAATACATGTATGTGACATGGCAGGTGCAAAAGACCCTTGTAGACCTCAAGATGGTCCGATCCCAGTGATTCCAAAGAGTAACTCTTCTAGTAAAGGATGTGTACCCTTCAATTATATGGGTTTAAATTGTTCGTGCTGCTCTACTACTCCTGGAGTTGGTTGCTTTGATACTTGGGCTGCTTGTCTTAACAGTAAATGTCTTCCTACTGGCCCACCAGTTTAAGATAATAGTATAATGCTTCCCTCTTTTACTTTTACTTTCACTTTTCTAGGGGAATATTTGAAATTCAAAGAATTGAAATACGAATTCGAATTATTTTTACCCTACCCCACCTTGTCAAGAGGATTATTAGTGTTCCCACTTATCTTCTAGCGTGACTCGAATCTTCATTTACCGATTGATGGTGAATGTACTATTAAATATATATATATATATATATATATATATATATATATATATATATGCTTCAAGATATTGATTAAATCTATTTAGTGTTATCTATATTATATGCAAGACAGACCTATATGATTTCTATATGTATATGATTTCTGAACATTTCTTGGTATTAAAAATGGGAATAGTAATGGGGAACATGAACCTTTGATCCAAAACCGTAAGTTATTTAGAGACAACAAATCGGCAGATCGTTCCTAATTTCTCGAAATACATTGTTGTAGAATGCTTAATTTTACCAAGGGCTCAAATGAGGGCCTGACAAAATATATCAGAACCTCAAATAACCATTTGATTTCTTTATAAAGTTATCTTAATCTTGGTAACTTAAAGACAGTAACATTGCCTAAAATATAACTAATTATCTGAAATGTCAGTCAAACTTTTACTGTGACTTGCCTTCAATTATGACACGGGTTATTCTGAAGCAGGGTATATGTAAGTTGTCATTGGATACATGGCAATTGGATTATGATAAACGAATATATTTCTGATTCAAATTTTAAGAGATGTACAACTTATAACCTTAAGACCAGAAAAAAAATAATTCGTAGAACGTTACGGGCACAACTTGTTAAGAGATGTACACTTAACAACATTAGGTCGCTACCCTAGCTTCGTGTTACGAGCACAACTTGGGAAACAACTTGCTATATTGAAATAATATTCATTCATAGTGGCTGACATTTTCTAAAGACGGAAAATTCTAAAAGAAACCTGATATAGGAACACCGTATAAGAAAGAATAACAGAATGTCTTGAAGTTTAATGACTAGCATTAAAGGTCGTAGCTTGCTACTAGTAAGTAAAAGATGGAACTATCAAGTCCAGTACATCAATTGTCTATTCAATATCCTGAGCCTATACACAGTGCTAAATATGTAGCAGAAGGTTTGCCTACTGGAGGAGGATACCTCATTACATGGTGAATTCCCCCCTTGAATGCCTAAAACTTCCATTTTCTGCACAATGAGTAGCCCTAAGAACTAGAGGGGTTGACACAACTCAAACAATCATCAAACACAGGTTCCTGATGTTAACATTCTCAACCTGTTCCTAAGTGCCAAAAAGTTTCTATATTCCTGGTTAATAATAATGCAATTAATATGGTTATTGAAACTCTTACCTTTACTGCTTATAGAAAATATATACAACTCCTAATACTTTTTTATTTATATTTGCATAATATTGGCATGAGAGGATTTAAATGGAATAACGTGGTCAACGAGGATTCATATAGCCGACCTCAACTTGTTTGGGACTGGGGTATAGTATTGTTGTTGTACCATTACTGCTTATATACAGCATTATGCTGACAAGTATTTATCTGGGGATTTTTTCCTTAAGTCATGACATCATTTTGCTTACTGTATTATGACAAAGGAAAAGTAAATTCTGAGCAAAACAAACTGAACATTCTATTCAATAGAGAAAGAAAAGCTGTACAAGTTTCATTCTTCATCTTTCCTCACTTCTTAAGTTGGAGACTTGACACTCTTTTCCTTGTATTTCTAAAGTAATTTGGTGACAACCATTTCAGAATCAGAAGCTGTATAAACTATAAGGTCAAATTGTTTACAGAATCTATACAAATGATTTAAACCTCAGCGTACATGTTTCACACACAACTCGTTTTCCCTTGGACATGTAACAGATTATCACTTCGCAGCATATCTTCCCATAAATAGTTCCCCACTTCTACCTTCGCTGCTGGAAGACGCCATGACAAGAATTCAGTTGAGATACACGAGAAGCAGAAGCGTGATGCATCCTTGGATCAATTACCAAATTTGCTTTGCAACTGTAGGTTCAGTGGAAGTCTCTACAGTCTGCTTTTCAAGATTTCAAGAGATCCAAGAAATGTTTCGCTGCAGTACTTATCTAGTCTTCCTTTGCGTAGCCTTCACAGACAAAGTGAAATCAGGTGATGCTACCTCTTTGAGACTCTACAGATACTTGAGCATAAAGTTACACTACATTAGGTAGGGCTAAAAGCTGAAAAGGAGAGGCCTTTCCCTGTTTAAGTGAAAAAGGCAATCATCTGCAATTTAATCATCTTTTTCAACCATTGGCTTTGCCTAACAAGGAAGATTTATTTGTTACCTCATTTCCAGTCTTACCAAAATATAACAAGGGAAAGAGTAAAGACTAGGACTTCCCTTGTTAAAGATGAAAAATAAATCAGCAAGTCTCTCCCTCCTTATTTCCAAGAGCCTCCTAATTGTTGTTTGTCCTTTTTATTATACTTCAGCAAAAAGGGTTAAGACAAGATAGTTGAAGTCAATATGATTGCACCGTTTTAAGCTTTCTCATACGAGGCCTTCCGCCTTCAACCTAGAGTAAGAAATTGTTTGAACAGACAAGTTTCAGTTATTAACAAGAAGAGATTTTCTTTTTTTAAATCTATTTTGATTGATGAAAGGACTTTAAAAGATGGGCACCAACAAGGTGGATCAAGTTACATCATCACATTTTTTGGGCTAAGGTCAAGTTACGTCATGATTTTGCAAACAGCATGAAAGATCATTGTGTGTGTGTGTGAGGGGGGAG